GAAAGGGAGACTGAAATGGGCAGGGCAGAAGAACCCCCTCTGGTACTTAGCTTGTAAAACACAAATGACAATGATGGCATCGCATCTCAAATCACAGAGCCAGGGATCCTGCAAATGAGCGGTCTTCTCTGTATCACAATCACAGTGAAGGTGGGGGCGGGGAGGGAAGCAAAGGGAGAGGAACTGGATGTTTGAGCTCCTTCTGTGCAGCAAGCAAACATTCCAGATTCTTCACACCCACTTCTACATTCATTCTCCACAGCCGCCCCGTGAGACATCCACAACATGTTTTTATGAACGGAGTAGGTGGTAGAGATTGAACTGTCTCCTCCCCCGCCAAATCACGTTCAAGTCCTAACTCCTTTACCTATGAACCGGTCTCTTTAGCAATAATATCATCAATGACCAGATTAGGGTGGGGCCTATTCCTAATTTCTTCTGAGCGGTATATTATAAAAGGGGAGACCAGATAGGGAGGGTCATATGCAGAGGGGCGAAACCATGTACAGGTACGACCATAATGAAGGAATGCGGGAAGCTGGACGACAGACAGAAAGAGCTGCCCTAGAGCCGACGGACGGAGAGAGAGCCCACTTGTGCCCACGTCCTTTCAGCTCTCTAGCTCAAAATGGGAAAAAGGAATGTCTGTCCTTGAAAGGCCCCCACTTGGCGGCATTGTGTGTCCGCAGCCTTAGGAAGCAAAGACAACAGGGAAGTGAAATCAGGAAGGGAAAGGGCTACTCTAGGGCCCGTGGCTGGCACACGCGTGGCAGTCACTCCGGAGCACTCTGGAGTCCAACGTGCCAGGCGGCTCTGCAAGTTCAAAAGGGCAGTTCAAGGACAAGTACCCAAATGGCAAGGTATGCTTTGGCACTGGTGCTCGCCCTTGAATTTTTCCCTTCCTTCATGGAATTTTTCTTAAACATCCATTATGTTCTTCACACTCCTTTTCTCAGCTTCTCTCGTCTCTCGGGCAAATGTGCATTCGCACATTTTCACGGTGCATTATTTTACCCGCTAAATATGCATTAAGCACAAAATGCTGTCAGTGGAGGCAGCATAGCGGGCCTGCGGGATCCTCAGTCGCATGCTCCAGACCCTAGTGGGACCTGTCACATTGGACCTGCCTGTTTGGCAAGCACTTCTCAACAAAGCTGAGAGCCTGGGCAGGGACCTTCGCACGTCTCTTTTGGACTGTCTCTTCAGGGCCTAGCTCCTCTCCCTGTCAACCCCTGAAAAGACCAAAAATGGTAGGCAAGGAGAAAATGTGCACAGATGTGTCACGCAGCCTGTGGTATTCGGACCCGTGGACATAAATCCAGCCCAAACCAAAGCCCACATATCTGGAGGAGGGCGACGTGGGCAGAACCCTCCCACTGCGCAAAATAAATGCTTGAACCCTGAAGGAAAGGGGTCTTTCCCGTCTCTGTGTAGAAGGGGTGGACCCAATTAAACATATTTCCAGTCACACCAAAGGACACGGTTTTGGGTTCTTTCCTGGGATAGTGGACAGAATATATGCATGGAGATCTGTGTCATGCAGGACTATCATAAAATGCCACCGATTCTAACACTTGGCTCACATCAGTAAAAAGAAATCACTCCTCAAAACTCGGCCGCTGCACAGCCTTGACACAAATGCTTTGACGGTTACACACAGTCCTTGACCCCAAACCAAATCTGACCCTAGGCCTCGGTGGGTGGAGAACATGGCGTGTGCCAGTCACTTCAGACAAGTGGAAACCCAAACAGGGTGGAAAGAGCCGGGAAACACTCTGCTAAGAGATCTCAATCAGGGCACAGGCAGGGCTGCCATCGCCGTGCCGGCGCTCCGTGTGCCCAGGAAGCACGCCTGTCGCCTGAAGGTTGAAAGCGGTTTTCCGGTTCTTTCCCTGGGACGATGGTGCTGGCCACGAGGGTGGGATCGCAGACTTCCAGCCTAGGTGCTCCTCACCAGGAATTTTTTTTCAATCATTTTATTAGGGGCTCCTACAACTCTTATCACAATCCATACACACATCAATTGTGTAAAGCGCATTTGTACATTCATTGCCCTCATCATTCTCAAAACATTTCCT